AGTGGATGGGCCTCTGCAGTGGCTGGGCTCTCAAGCCCATTTCCTGGCAAGCATTTTCCCAGATTACTCCATTCCCAGAAGCTCTGGTTTCAAAAAGCAGACCATTTAAGTGGCCTTGTTCACATCTGATGAACAAGGCTTGTTGTGGAGTCATTGGCTTCCCTAGAACTCAAGCTCCATTGAGAGATAGATTTTTGCTGTTTTTTCATAGAAATTTCCCAGGTACTGACTTAGTATGGCATGTTCAGCTATACAATAACTTTGTGTCCATTAGAAGTAAATGAACAAATGAACAGATTTGACTTTCCTGGCCTTTTGACAACATTGGCCACAGTACTCATTTTGTCCCTGTGTCTTCCCCAATCAGTTAAAAGTACTGGCCATCAGGCATGACATAATGGAATTCCTGGCCCTCCTTGTTCTAGACTCCCCTACCCATTGCTCATGATTCTTGCCCAGAATCCCCCAGTACACTCCTGCTCTATCTCTGAGGTAACTATGGGCCTCCCTGGGCTGCAGATGGCTACTGACATTTTACTTAACCGGTGGAATCCCTTATAGCCTAAGCCAGGTCACGCAGAACCTGCTTCCCCATGTTGTGCAATGATAGGCTCCCGCTTTTCCTCAAGCTCCGCCTTCCTGCCAGTCAACAGCTAAGCCTGGAGCCAGTTCTGAGACGTGATAAGTTGTGAGGGAAATTATGAGCCCACTGATACCTTGGCAGTATAGCAAATAAGGTCACCAGAGACTGATTGATGCGTTTATGCCACTGGACACCTAAGCTATTTCTTTACGTTGGTGTGTGTTTTTTTAACTGACTCCATCCTCCTTGCTTGAGACATAAAATCCCAAACCCAAAGACTTCACTTTTTCCTTACCATGAAGCTTCTCAGACAAGGCCCTTTGGAGATTACCAGGGGTCATTTTAATCAAAATGAAAGACATCTCTTATTAAGATGGCTTTGCTGACAAATAATTAAGATGAATTACTAACATGTACTTGTCCCTTCTGCCTCATTGGTGTCATTTGGAGTAGTCATGGGAAGCTCATACTGCCCGCCTCAGCTCTTTAAAAGCAATTTATAACCTAACTCACCATCCTAACTACCCGAGAAGATTTTAATCCTAAATCTGTCACCACCCATTATTTTCATGGGATCGTGACAGTTCTACATTAAAACACTTTATAAGTAAAAGTTAACAAGGCCTAAAGAGAGTGATTTATGTTGCCGCGTGTGGAACAGTCAACATTCTTTTCCTGGCCAAAGATAGCCCAGAGCTCTCTATGGGATGAAGGAGGAAAACCATCTTAGAAAGATGGATGGTTCATGCCTCTGGGCAGGTGGCTGATGTGTGGTCCTGGGCCTGAGGCCCAGCCATCTGGCAGAGCCCGTATTGGGAGGAGGAAAGTGCAGCCCATCCCCCATTTCTCTCCAGAACCACCATCACCCTGGGTCCAAATACTCTCAGGTTTTTGGCTATCTGAAGGACATGCCAGCTTTCTCTGTACATTCTGTACATTGTTCTTGATTCCTCAGAGCCAGTTTTGAGGAGTCAAAATATTGTTCCATATTGTTGTTGACAAATAGAGACAATGAGTCACAACAGAAGACAGGAAGGGTAGCATGAGGTTGACCCCAACTCCCCTCTATCCAGACCCTTCCCCTCAAATATACTGAATCCCCCCTCTCTCTCTCTCTCACACACACACACACACACACACACACACACACACACACACGTGCGCGTGTGCATGCATGCATGCACACACGCATGCATATACATGAAAACGTTCCTCAGGAAGACAGAACAGTCAAATACTTTGTTGCCTTAACCTCGACCCCTCTGCTGAGTGGACTGTTTGATACACCCTCAAGAAGTCACTCCACATGCACTTGAATTGCATTAGTTTCCTCAGGCCACTGTGAGACAAAGCTACAGTCAGGGTGGCTTACCTCAGGAATGTATCTGCTTGTCATTCTGGAGGCTGGGAATCCAAGATCAAGGCATCAACAAGCCTGTCTTCTGCTGAGGACTCCCTTGTTGGCTTGTGAGTGCTATTTTCCATCCTCTTCCTGTGTTGTCTTCCCTCTGTGCACACCCCGCTGGTGTCTCCTCCCGAATCCTGATCATCTCCTCTTACATATGGCCGCTATCAGAATCTGGAGAAAGGCCCACCCTAATGGTCTCCTTTCAGCTTGACCGACTCTCCCATGTCTTATCTCCAGTCAGCTCCTGAAGTGCTGTGGTCACTGCTTCCATATCTAGATTTCCGGACATTTCTGGACACCCTTATCTGGCTGCGAAAACTTTCTAGCATAAGTGATCACCAGCAACAGCAGGACATGGGTCTCAATGGCTCTCAGTGAGGACCAAATCACCCTGCTTTGAGGACTAAAGATCAACCCTCCCATGCAAAAGAAGTAAAAATTGTTCCCTTGCAAAGGAAGATTTGAAAGAACTGAAAACCATGTAGGATGATTGGTAGGCAGAGCAGGAGGCTGTCTTGAATTGGAAGGCCTGCCTAGGCTACAGACTAATTCAAGGCTAGCCTTAGTTACAAACAAAGCAGTGAAAACAAAGTCCTTTCGAAGACAGTTGCTTAATTTTCTTCTAAGGATGCAACTTTCAAGAGTCTCTCTCTCTCTCTCTCTCTTTCTCTCTCTCTCTCTTTCTGTCTGTCTCTGTCTCTCCTATCTGTCTGTCTGTCTGCCTCTCTACCTCCCTCATTCTTTGTATCATTAGGTCCATCCTATCTCATTTTATTGAAACATATTATTAATAGGACAATAAGATGTCCTCCCTTGGCCATAATTCCATTCCATTTTTTGATACCCAACTTTCTAAACGTGCACAGGAACTAATTCGGGGTCCTCAGTCAGCAGTGGGTGTGGTAGGTATTTCTCCATCCATCATTTCAAGTTATAATAAGCAAGTGTGGTCAGAGCTGCCCCGGAGATAAGCAGGGCATAATATTTTCATGGTCACCATGATCACAGACTCAGATAAGAGGCCAACATGCTATTTTTACTCCCCACTTTTCTACTCCTCATGTTAAATCCAAGGAGAACAAGCGGAAAAACAGACTGCCTTGGCCCCCTGCAGCAGAACACAGAACGTCCAACCTTTTCCTTTTCACTCGGGCCACCGCATGCGTCAAAGATGACACAAATGCTATTGAGGTGACTCGGTGCTGAGGAGGTGCCTCTTAATTGAGTTTGCGGCCCAGAGCAGAAAGCATGCCCATCTGAGGTACTTGTTGTATCATTTTTAAATCAAGGCCATCTTTTTCTCAGTGGTAAACGTGAAATGTTTTTAAAGGCCAGACTTAGCATAAAAATCTATTGGTTGCCATGGATACCACTTTACCACACAGGACTGCGCTCTGTGTTCAACTGTGTGATTTTTCTCTATTCAAGGGTTCAGCATTGTCAAAAAACAAATTACTTTTTCTGTTGTTTATCTCAAAGTTCATTATTGGAAAAGCAATAAATAAGAAGATATTCGTGTACAAAGGGGAGCAACACAGGGCTTCACTTGGGCTGTATGACTTTAAAAAATTGTATTTTACAGTAATTATCACCAAATTGGCTATTGTTAGGAAATAAAATACATTTTGATCTTTTTTGTGTATGTGAATATAAAGTAAAGCAGGTACTTGGAAGTCTGCTTCCAACAAAATTACATGGTAATAAGGCTTTTCACACCTACACAGCACTTAGTAACACAGCTCTGAAACAGACACGAAGCTCTGATTGGTTTGCAGCTTGGTATCTGAGGCACTGGGCTTTCCTCTTTATGAGAGAAAATGCGGGTTCAGGACCTTGTGCTCACTGAATTATTCATGCCGTCTTTCCATCACGTAACTTTAGGTTGAAACCTGTTAGGCTAAAATTAAGTACAAGGGTCCACAGCATCCAACGCAGTTCCAAACCTGCAATGTTGTCCTCTGCTAATTAGTAAAAACACCTTTCCAGTCCCACCTCTCCTTCCCTCCTACCTCTGAGCCTCAAGGGAAAGTTTGTGCTGGGGGTGGGGGGCTCCTCGGGGAATTAACAGAAGTATCAAGAGGGAGTTTCTCACATTACCGGAGGGTAGTCCAAGACAACTTGGTGTCAGCAAGTTCCCATTGGCTGAAAGCTGTTTTATTTTGTTATGTTTCCCAATTAATTAAGGAATGTCCTGAATTTTGACTTGTTACTTATTTAAGATGCTCTCCCATGCACTCTCAGGCACTTTTTAGATGCCTTGATTCAGGCAATTTGCATTACAATGAGAGAAAGAGGAGACCTTAAAAGGCATCTGGCTTTTGAATGTGCTCCTGGTATTGGTTGCCTGCAATAATATCCTGGAGGGGGATGGAATTCTCATTTGGGTTGGTTGTAAGGCAGCACACTGATGACTGCTAATATGCAAATTCCTGCTTGTCACCACAATTATGCTTATAGCTGATAAAATTGTGGAGGTTGCAGAGTTACATTCAAATTGAGACCCAAGCATAACCCACTTGCAAGATGCATTGCTAATTAATTTACATATTGCAAACGTAAACCAAGGCCAGCTCAAACCAGAATGACCAGGGAAGGCTCAAATGGTTAATGCTTACTGGGCCTTGAAGGAACTGACTGGACCATCCTGGAGTTTCTGAGAGGAAAGAGTGATGGGTGCCAGGAGTTTTGCTGGCTGGAAGTCAAGGCAGCTATGAAGAGACTGGGTGAAGGCAGTGTGGTTTTATTTGCTTCCTGTTGGGTGCCTGTGGAGCCTGTAAGAGGTGGGGCCTAGTGGGAGGAAGTCAGGCCATTAGGGGTGTGCCCTTGTAGGGAATATTAGCATCTGCAACCCCTCCTCTCTGGTTTTGCTTCCTGGCCACCATGGAACAAGCAGCATAGCTCCACCACATAATCCCTTTACCACAGGCCCGCAAACGGCAGAGCTATTGGGGAAATTGGGGTTTCCTTTTGGGTTCTTAGTCTCAGTAATAAAAGAATTTAGAGATAGGCTGGGAAGGAAGCGCAAAGACAATTTTATTAGAGTTTTGAAAAGAAAACAAAAACAAAAACAGGGCAGGTAAGCTGCCAGGAGAAAAGAGATGAAGAAGAGCCAAGAGCCTCGACTTGTAGGTTTACGGCCTGTCCTAGTTAGAGGTCCTGTTGCTGTGATGAAATACCATGACCAAACTTGAAGAGGAAGGATTTATCAGTCTCACACTTGCACATCACAGTCCATCACTGAAGGAAGTCAGGACAGGAACTCAAGCAAGGCAGGAACCTGGAGGCGGGAGCTGATGCAGAGGCCATGAAAAGGAGGTGCTTTTCAATGTGCTCCACGTGGCTTGCTCAGCCTGCTTGCTTATAGGACCCAGGACCACCAGCTCAGTGGTTCCATAAGAACCACCCCAGGCTCCACTCACGATGGGTGAAGCCCTCCTATATCAATCACCCAGAATCACCAGCCCAGGGGTGGCACCACGCACAGTAGGCTGGGGCCTCCCACAGCAATCACAAAGAAAAATGCCCTACAGGCTTACCTGCAGCCTGATCTTATGGAAATATATTCTCAGCTAAAGTTTCCATCTCTCAAGTTTCTCTAGCCTGAGTCAAGCAGGCAAAAACTAGCCAGCATAGGCCAAAAAAGCAGGTATGTTCGACTATGGAGGCCCCATAGCTGCTAGGAGGGATGGGGTAAACATCTCAGAGAAGGAGTGAGAATGCCCAGAGCATCTGTATAAGTATTCCTTAGCTTTTGGTCAATAGCTAAAAAAGAAACAAGGAAGAAAAAGGAAAAGTTAAGCTTAATGGGGTAGGCCCAAATAAGGGAGAGACATTTTTAGAAAGAATAAGCACATTATCTCATCAAGGGGATAATTATTCCTCCCATCTCCTCTGTGTCCTTCCATAAATCGTATTTTTTTTTTTGTGAGATGGTTTCCTGGACAGTGACTGACAGGCCCAGCTATATCAACTCAACAAAGCCCTGATTTATCCCCCTAAAGCTGACCACAAGGGAGTGATTCTTCCTCAGTGGCCTCCAAGCCTCTTAATCCCTGTTCCAGAACTAAATAACCAACCAATTGTGGACTAGGGCAAGCAGCAAACAGAAATTTTGGCTAGCCTAGCCTAGAAAGGTACTTACTGTCAGAGAGAAAAATGACAAACAGACAGGAATTCTGGTGGTTCCAGATGGAGGACCACTTCAGGATACCACCACTGGAACATTTCGACTTTAGTCCTCTTCAGTCTTTTGTCTTTCTTCTCAAGACCCAAATTTGGGGACAACCTGTTTGAGGGGAAACACCCTTAGTTTATTTTTCTACTTCCTAATTTGAGTATGGCTTCAACACATGGGGCCCAGCTATAAACTACTGAGTTTCAGCCTCCCTTGCAGCCAAGTGTAGCCATAAAAGGAAGTTCTTGCCAGCTGGATAGGAGTCCAAGTGATACACAGCCATTTTTGGCCTGTGTCCAAAGTCACAAAGTAAGGTCTTTTCCATGTCCCCTTTCTCTGGTTGGATAGAAATGGCAAAGTTGGGGACAATTGTAGAAGCCGCATGTTGAGGAAGGCAGTGTCCCTGCTTGCCCAGATCCCTGTGTGACTACATGAAACAGGGCCTATCTGTTGGCTCTGGATCCATTATAATAAAGACAACCTTCTGTCTTGTTTGGATAGCACTGTGGGGTGTCTTTGCTATGGCTACTGAACATCCCCTTGGCTCAGAGAATTCTGTGGGCAACTTTCATCAGGAGAATTGGATCCTTGGAAGGAAAGCAAGGGATGTTTATTACAATAGTTATTGCTGGCGATAGGATCCTTCTGCACCATCTACATCCAGTGCAAGTGCCTTGTTTTGAAATCCCCTGTCTGTAAATACCTCTTTCATGGCCACTCGGACCTGTGACTTGCCCTGAGTGTGGCAAGCATGGAGCTGCTCTCCTCCCCTTGCTGAAGCAGTAAGCATAGAGCCTCACTTAAGGGACAGATGGGCTCATCCACTACCCGTTAAAAGTGAAGCAATTTTGGTGCCTGTTCTCTTGTTTCTGTAGCTGTCACATTGGTAACACAGTCTGTAATATTGATTAGCACCTGCCCAGCCTCAGCAAGCACCATTATGTGCTAACCACTCCTAAGGAGAAGCTGTTGCCAGGGAAATAAACAACTCATTAGTCTAGGGAAAGAATGGTTAGCAGAGGCACGCATCTCTAATTTGTATTTTTATTTTGTGTTTTATTTTCAATTAATAAGAAAATACTTATTGATCACCTTCTAGCTGCCTAGCACTGCTTTCATTCTGAGTAGAACAATTTATTGTTTTCAACAACATGGGCATTGCATAATAATAATAATAATAAAGCACTTGAGTTAAAACACACATGCACATAGTCATATGTTTGCTTTAACTCACTGTTAATGACAACTTTGCAATTCCTTTCTGGAAAGCAAAAGAGGAATGGGATTTATTTGCAATACTTTCATTGTAGAGTCAACTTTTTCTGGGATATGCTTATTTTAACTTCGATGATGCTGTTAATGTTCTCCCCTCTTCCTCCAAGGCCCACATTCCATTCCTGGGACAGTCTCTCTGCACACATTCTGGCACAACACAGATGTGCAAGCGGCCCTCATTAGCTGCGCCAGGAGGTTTGCTCCCACCTAGAAACTGTCCTTGATGACCTCTGGTCACTCCCATTTCTCAAACTGCAAATCTTTAGATCTGATCCCTTGTACTTGACCCAAGAATCTGGTTCTTATCAGCCAGTTTTGACCACCACTGTTAGTGTACAAAACCTTCTCACCAAAATCAAATGATTCTTAGGCATTGTATCACAAGCTCTAATTGGTCTTAATAATAAAATCCAGATTTAGATATTAGGAAGTGAGAGCTGAAAGATCAGAGAAGCAGATCATCCAGCCACTAGAGTTACCTCTGTGAAATCTCCAGACCCAAAAGAGGCTTAGCACCTGTCTCCTCCCACCTTATATTCCTCTCTCTGCCAAGCCATATCACTTCCTATCTGTCTGTACAGGCCCTCAGACCTCTATGGTTAACTAGTGGCTAGCTCCACCCTCTGATCTACAGGCAAGTTTTATTTGTTAGAGTACAAACGAAATATCAACAAAATGCATCAGTATTTTGGCAGAGATGCACAATTCTGGAGAGCTAGTTCTGTGGTATGAGGAAAACTATTAAATGGGTTTTCTTTATTTAGAAATGGACACACACCCATCTAGACAGTAGATTTAGGCAAAAAGAAATTATGAGAACATTTTCTGTATGGTGGACTAGAGTGAGAATTTGTCGTTGGGGAGGAGTAGAGTCTAGACCCAGAAGATGATCGGGATAAAAGTCTAGAACAGACCTTCCTCTGATGATGGAACACTACTCGGTTATCGTTTCTATTGCTGTGGTGAAACACCATGACCTAAAGCAACCTGGGTAAGCAAGGGTTTGCACTTCCATCAGTCCATCACCAAGGGAAGTCAGGGCAGGCATTCAAGCAGAGCAGGAACTCAGGTCAGGAGCTGATGCAGAGGCCATGAGAGAGTGCTGCTTACTGGTTTGCTCTTCATGGCTTACCCAGACTTCTTTCTCACACACAGTAGGACCACCAGTCTAGGGTTGGCACTATCTACAATGGGCTGAGCCCTCCCACACCACTCGCTAACTAAGAAAATGCTGCATAAACTTGACCATAGCCTGATCTTGTGGAGGCATTTTCCTATTTGAGAGTCCTTCTTCCCAAATGATTCTAGCTTGTGGTCAGCTGACATGAAACTAGCCTGGACAAACCCTTTCCTATCTCCACTGTTCCAAACAGTGGCCTCTACCCTCAGTGACCACTGAGCATTTTTAAGCTCAAGCATTTTTCTTTGTGTAGTGACTGCTGTTTTTGTCTCTCTAGGTCTACATGAAGAGCCTTAGCAACTTCAAGTTGAAGCTTTAAGGTAGTCAAGAAACAAACAGTGCAGAGGTATCCTGTGCACGGTGTCACACATAGCACAGAAGGGAAAGGGGAAGGTGGGCATGGAGAGAGTAACAAAAGACCGAGGTCCACGGTCAGACACACAGGGAGTAGGGAGATGCACCAGACGTGTGTCCCTTCATCTGTCAGCTGGACTTTGTCTCAGTTCATGGAACCCTTGATGATTTGCAGTACCTGTGACCCAGGCCCGCATTTGAAGTAGTCTGTTGGGTATAAACATCGGGACTGGACAGAGACTGTGAAGGGCAAGTTTAATCTGATGTTTACCCACAGCCCTTTGATCTCAGCTAACCCAGTGCTGTGTGCGTATGAGATAGCAAGGTCCATTTTCTGAGGAATGCTGGCTTCACTGGGCTCTCTATTCCTTCCTCTCCTTTAGCTTATTTCCTAAGCAATCACCAGTAGTAACAGGACTCCCTGGGTCACTTTTCTGCCCTTGTCAGTCCCCAGCAAGCCTAGTTCCCTTGTAAACCCTACATTCAAACTTCCACTGGTTCAGAAGAAATAGTGCATCAAAGGTGGCCCTTGCACATGGGAAGGGGCTCCAAGCAACAAGATTTACCTACATGTAAAGTAGCAATGTCTCCAACTTCTCCAAATTCTTTATGACATGAGGGTTGGCCCAGGCTGAAAGCAATAGCAGGAAATGAATGACTCTAGAAATAGAGAATTAAGCATGTTGTTATGCATATTGGAGTGGCCATAGAATACAGTTCTTTGCTTTAGGAGTGGGATGGGAGGGTGAAGAAGGGAGAATTTTCATTTTATTTTTATACCTTTTGAATGGTTTGAGTCTGCATCTTCGAGGAGAGTGGGGCGGGGGAGCCCAGCCATACTTGTGCTGTCGACCTAATGCTGATGTTTAAGGGAGGCAATAGACCACGAGGCAGTCAGCTGCTGAAGGCTCTTAAAATAAAAATGAGTAGCTGGAGGTCTAACATGGCATTTCTTGGGGGTGCTGATCTAGTAAGGGAAGGGAGTATTCCAATGTCTTAAGTTGTGGATTCCTAAGTGTAAGGAGAGACTGGGAAGCAGGGATTATAGCCTGGCCCTGAGTTCCATGGTAAGAACTGGGTCTTATATATGATTGTTCTATGGACAAAATCCCACAAAGCTTGTGCAGTATCCCATCAGAAGAGGGACAAGAGAAGGGTATAAGGTCTTGACTGAACTGTCTTTTCACCTACATTCCCAGGGGTGTGACTTGAACAGAGCCATTTGAAACAGGATGGCAGTTAGAAGCATCCCAGGTAAGGATACTGAGTATGCGAACCATGGTTAATTTACCAGAGCCAGAGAAGCAACAAGGCTCTGCTTGAAGTGATTCTTTGAATGTAGGACCAAAAGCCACGCACTGCAGATCTACAGCAGAGCTTCAAGAGATGATAGGGAGAGGAAAAACTACCAAAGACCCATGAGCAGTAGCTGCCTTCCTGCCAACTACCAAAGCTAGTTCGAGACCAAAACATTAATTCCCTGAGCAGCAGAAGCTGGAAGTCACCCAAGCAGGGGGCGGGGTCCTTTCCTGCAGACACTGCCAAGCTTTGTTGTCATTCTGGAGGGTCCCTCTTAAGTGTTGTCCTTCCCCCTTCTCCTTTCTCCCCCTCCCCCTTCCCTCACCCTCTTCCCTTCTATTATACCCTGCATAGTTACAGAGAGGAGATGGGCAGAATCACTTACCTACAGAACGAACTTGGAGCTGTAGCTGTGGCCTGATGAATTAGTAGCTGAATCACTTTGAGCATCCACTGATAAGCTACTGCAGGCCTGAAAGCAGCCAAGAGCCCTGGGAACCTCTCCGACTTTCCCCAAGCAGCTAGATAATAAAGACAGACTAAGTTGAAAGCCACAGGCTTTGCTCCTCCTCCGACAGCGGGAAAGTGTTGGGAAAGTGTCTGATTCTGTCCTTGTGGCTGGTCCTGAGTACTCGCATCGCTTCAGTTGCCCCTGGAGCCGGGTGCAGACAAACACAAGGTTCCGTTCTTGTCTTTTCAAAAACATCACATTGGCTTAATTATCTTAATTGGGGGAAAAGTAGCTAACTACTGCAGCTCTCTCCGCCATGTTGTAATGGAGCCACCAGGGTAAAGGAGCTGACGTCCGCCCTGGGTATTTAAATACTTGCTGCCTCAGAGTGGCTGTCACATTTGGGTTTGGGAGGAGAGCTCCCACCCTTCTAAGGTGGGATGGTTAACATAGTGATAACAATTTATTCTTTCTGTCCTTCAAGGAAAACCCACCCCATGGCTTTCTGGGAGTCAAAAGATTCTGGAGTGCCCATGATTTTCTGCTTGAGGAAAAGAATGGCTTTTTGCATAATTCTGAGAGCAAGCAACCTGACTCCCCGCCACATCATGGAAAATTCCAAGATATACAATGAATGAATTGAATAGAGGTCCCAGCAAGCAAGCATTGATAGGGAGGTGTGTGGCATTTTACAGCAGTCTCCTGCCTGGAAGCCACATAAAAGCCCAGTTTGCAGTGTGTAGCAACTGCATTTTTCTTGTCTCCAGATTCCAGTTGCGAGAAAGTGGCATGCTGTAAGGGAACACCATGGCTGCCAATAACAGAAACTGTCTGAGGTTTCTGAGGAACTGGTAAACGACAAGGGATGGAACAGAGGTGGCCTTGGGAGTTCATATCTTGGCTTGAGTTTCTGGACACAGTTCTTGTTGATCTTAACAGCCCAACCCCAGGCAGGAGTGAGAGGAGATTGGGTAATTAGGTAGGTAAAGGGCAGGCAGGCTGTTAAATGGTTTCCTTTTGTGTTGCTGTGGCCAAAGTCCCCGAGACCAGCTAAAAGGAAAGAATGTTTGCATCTCTCTTGTCATAGCAGAGGCACAAGTCCATCATGCCCGAAAAGGCATGGTAAAACACGGCAGTCCACGCAGTGCCAGGAAAGTAGAGAAAAGAACACAAGAAGAAACCTGGGCAAGACTCTTCCCAACGACTGCCTGCAGCAGAAGTAGGTCACCAGGTCACTTGTCCTCTGCCTTTCTCTTCCTCCCAGCAATGCTGTCATGTCATGAATCCATCAAAGGCTTAATCTGGGCACGAGGTCAGAGTCATGGGGATCTAGCTGCATCTGGAAATGACTCACATGTACCCCCAGGCCTGCGTGTCACTAATCCCCCAGGTGTTTCTCAGTCCAATCAGGAGGACTCTCAAGTTTGACATTACAGATGACGTAAAGTTCAAGGGTCTGTATGAGCCAAGATTGCCACAAGGGGAGAGATGAGGCACCGAACTTGCCCACCACGGGTCAGATTTACCCCTGTGTAATGCCCATCTATGGCCATTAGCCACCACAGCCACCAGGTCCTCAGCATCTCTACTCAGCAGAACTTAGGAAGGTCAGAGAATAGACTCACAAATAAGAGGCTCTGCCTATGAATCCAAGCATCTTCTAATTTACTGCCCTCTGACCCAGATATCGGGTGTGTGGCTATCCATGTCAGGTATCTGGATATCAGAGCATATGGGAACCTGGAGTCTAGGGAACACTCAGGAGGTTGGCATGATGGGAATCGTTACATCTAGTTTTGCAGATGAAGAAATTGGCCTGTGCCCTGCAGGAGTCCATGCTTGAATCATACCATGCCACTTCAGTTAACTGAAAACAGTTTAACTAGAGAAAAGGTATGCAGATTTACTATGCGCATGGAGGCAACCATATAACCCAACAGGATTCAGCAGCATCTACATCCTTTTTGTAGGAAACACACAGTGCAGGCAGATTTCCAGGGGAATAGTGCGTGACTTAAAGAGGTTTCACTTAGAGAAGCGCAGAGCAGACAGTGAATTGCAAAGGATACTCCTTAGAGTGTGGATGGGAACGCAAGGGAAGGCGAGGGTGGGTGCAAAAGTCTGGAGTGTTGGAGTGATGGGTCCAGGCTGTAAGACAAGGAGCTAGCAAGGCTCTTCCAGCATCCACAACCCTTACCTTCCTATAACTCAAAATAAACATCGCTGGGCACAGCAACCCATGACTGCGATCCATGACGAGCTTGAGGCCAGCCTGGGCTATATAGTAAGACTGTTTTAAAAACAAACTAATAAAGCACACCCGGGTAGCCCTTCTGAGGGTGACAATCCCTGGGCTCATTTACTGTACAACTAGTAATGGGTAGAAGCAGGGCTGGCAGTCAGCATTTGGGCGTCTCGCTCCGACCTTCATCCTTTGACCTTTGCACTTTCAACCGTCCATTCACCCATTTAGTCTCTACCTTGCTTTCCCTTCCAGCGAGCCCATCTGGCTCCTAACTGCCCGCGTCTCTGGGCTTCCATCGCCTGTTCACACTCACATTCTGACTCACAGCATGGGTTTCAGAAGAGCTCGCTGCTTTGCTGAGTTTCCTATCTGCCTGGTTTCTGACCCCACCCTCAGCCCATTCCAGGACTGACAGTCTCAGATTTTTGGCTTTGCCTCTGCACTATATGGTCACGCTTGCTAGATCACTGCCCATGAAGCTGAGTTTTGTGTAATGAGCTCTGGGCCAGGCAGCAGGTCCTCAGCCAAAGACCACTCCATTGGGATGGCAGGCCAGATGGGTAAGTCAAAACTGTAAGCAAAGCAGAGAGGCTGAAGATGCTCCAGGTGCAGGCCCTGGGGGCGGGGGGGGATCCATGCAAAGGTCAGGAGTACAGAAGCCAAGGCAGACAGAGGCTGGTAGGGTAGGGCAGCTCTCATTGAGACTGCTCAAGCAAAGGCCCTCTCCGTGGGATGCAGTGTGAGAGCAGTGTCAAGCATGCTTCACTGGCGTTTCCATCATGCTACCTTGCAGTGGATGCAAACTGATAGGGATGCAGACCTGGGAAAGTGGTTTACAGTTGGCGATAGCCACAGTCCCTAGGGAAGAACATAGCATACCACTTAGGACCAAGCAGCGGGGTGCTGAGGCTGTCCCACAACATAAAGAGGAGCCAACTGTGGCCAAGTGTCTTTGACTATGGTTGTCAGCAAAGGAACGCTGGGTAGGCAGGATTAGGAGGGCCCAGCTGGAGTGATCTCAGCAGACCCTGGGCCTCTTTACTTGGTTCTGGGGAAAATAGTGTGAGTGTGCAGTAGCTGTTTGAGAGCAAGCTGAGGGAGGTGGCCTGTAGTCTGAATTCTCTGCTCAAAAAGGAGAACTGACCAGCGGTTCATCTGTACATCGAAACTATAATAATAATAGCATGTACACGTTTTACATCACAGCTAGATTGGCACAGACTCAGAAAGAAAGTTGGTTTTCTGTTTTCAAATTCCAAAACAGCATATAAAAATTGAAACTTTCAGTGATACAGTGAAAACTGATTTTGGAAACTGATGATCCCGGATCATAGTGGAAACTACTATTAGGAGATAGACACAGTTTTCCAGAGATTTGGCTGTCTAGACAGGAAGTGGACATCTATGGATACTTATGTATGCACCCAGACTACTTTGTGGTCTATAGTGAAGATTAAAATAGAATTTCCTAATATGGTATAAATGCCTTTTTGTAAGCTAAATAACATATCATGGGCCTTGTTCCATATCAATACAAAACTGCACCATTACTCTTTTTAAATTGCAATATAGTATTACAGAATATGCCACAACCAGAATGAATTAGCAATCATTCTACTATCAATTAATATTTGTGATGCTCTTACACTTGTACCATTATATTGAGTCAGTAAACATTGGACACTTTTGTGTGACTTTTCTGGGGCATAAATTCTCAGAAGTAAAATGTCTGGATCAAAAATCATATGCGTTTTAAATTTAATTAACAACTATTCAATTTCTCTCCAAAAAGATTGCATCGGTTTATAATTCCACAGCAGTTTATGACTAGACATTAGGCCTTATTGATCTTCATTTTCTCAATGCAACTGGTGGAAAATGAGGCTTTGTTTTCATTTGACTAGGGATGTATGTAGTCCTTAAATGTTGTTGGCATTTGAACATCCTCATCTATAAATTAATCCTTCGGGTCTTTCCCTAATTTTTAATCCTCTTTCTATCTAAATTTAGAATATTAACTGCTTGCTATATAGATAATAAATATCCTTATTGCTTTATCATTTGCTTGTGGTCTCTCTTCTGTGTGAGTTTCTGTGTTTTGTGTGATGAGATCTAGTGATGCTTTCTTTCATGATCTCTGGCTTACCCACCTTGCTTTGGAAGATCTCTATATTGGAGGTGCACAGTTGAGTGGAGCAGGCTGGATTAGCCAGTACCCCTAGCATTGTATGTATTCTCCCCATCAACTCCTATTGTCTTCTTGGGAATTTCCTGGTGGCTGAGGGTGGGGTAGAACCCCCGCAAGCTCAAACCATTGGCTATTGGTCTTAACTTCCAAGTGCTGAGAGTCTGATCAAAACCATGGATCTCACATGCCATTGTAACCACCATCTCAAGCCGCCTGGACTCCATCGCAGCCCCCGTTGGTCCTTCCTCAGACTAATCCTCTTTCCACTGCATTGCTGACTGTCTAATTCAGTTCAATCAAACTCAAGCCAGTAGGTGTGTCACTCTGACTGCTCTCCCTGCAAAATTTCACCCAGGAAACTGAGTATCCCATGGCTGATGCCCAGGCACCTGTGACTCTTTATGCCACCCTCCTGCCCTCTCTGGAAGTCTGTCACTCCTCGTGGCCCTAAATGCAAACGCAGGTAGGTATCGCTATATCTCAGATCCAGTGTCCCTGGACTCTCCTGGGGGACAGTTACTCCCCTGTATTCTTCCCCTCCTTCCAGTCATCCCCCACCCCACCCCCCGCCAGAGGGGGTAGCCAGGGCCTCTCACAATGGCTCCTGAACCAAAGCAGGGTGGGATTGAGAAGAGAGACACTGAGAACCACCAGGCGGAGGTTCTGTCCCCCCCAGAAGTAAACACAAGGAGAAGGGCATGGCTTAGCAGCAGGATTTTACCAACACCCTCGATGGCAGAGGGTGAGGAATTTGGAAATTCAAGGCCACTATCTATCATCATTGAGAGAAAGATTGGAGGATCTCTCCAGAGTGTTGGTTCTCTCTGAGTACCTAGGACAAAGGGACAACCATTACTGAGGCCTCACATCCTTACAGGGCCAGGAACGTCAAAATAGATGCAAACATCCTCTGCAGATCATTCTTTCTCTCTTTCTTAGATCAGAAAGTGTTTCCGGATAAATCTAATCAATGATCCAAGAAGCACACAGGGGTCTGCTCCCGGCTTCAGAAATCCCAGCCTTAAATGGTTCTGATTGCTTTCCATGAGGCTTTGACTACAAAAGGGTCAGTCTAGGGCATAAAGACTAGCACATTCAGCACT